TTACTCATTTCAACTGGTTTATGTTGACCTAAAGGCCTTTTCTTTTTGGAAGAATGCATTGTTTTATAACTAATTAGTAAAGAAAAAATTATTGTAATTAGTGAATATAGAACTAAGAATGAAAAGCTGTTCTAGAAAAACAGAAATAGAGAAAGAAAGAAACTTTTTACACAAAGGCTGCTAAATAAATGACTCCCTTAGTTTTAGGAAAAGGAATGTCACCATTAACAAATGATACTACTCTGAGCCTATTATGTTGAATATTGTGTCACTGTCAATCACTTGGCAATCCACAGGGCAATACTTCTCCATAATAACTGCCAACTTCAGTCAATATATTTGCATCATTTTACTTTAGAGGCTTATGAAATGCAAATAAACATTCTACTAATAGTGCTTCTTATTTAATTAGTTCTGCCTGGTGGATATTCTTTTTCCTCACCAAGGCCTTAAAAGTAAGAATTTCAATTCCAAGCCTGATTTGGCCATTTGACAATTCTTTGCATTGCTGACCCATTGTTTTGAGGTTGTTGACCAAGGAGATAGGAATTACAACATGAGAAATAAGACCCTTTTTTGAAAGAAGGTACACAATGCAGGCATCTGTCGTTCAGCATATTATTTAAAAACTCAGAGAAAAGAATCATACCCACATTGTTTTTTAAACTAGTTTTAAAAAAACATCTTTGGGAAATGGATACTGTGTTTCTGTCTGAAGTGAAAGTCATCCACTACAAATATTTTGCTCTGTTATTCTACTACATGTATGCGCATGTTAACCCAGCATCATTCATTTTGAGAAAATACTGCCTACTTAAATACTTTATTAGCATAATTTTTATTTGCATTTCTCCTTCACCCCATAGTAATTCTGCTTATATAGAAAGTAGACAAGTGACACAGGCCTGGCAAATCAGAATAACCCATGACCCTAAACAATTAAGAATAAAAGCTGCCCAGCTAGTTGTTTGCAGAGCCTAGGACCATTATTTAAGATCTATTCTGCCCTCTGGAAGGGGTACCCTATTTCAGAAACCTTGACAGCCAGCTTGGATTGACCAAGTGCTTTGTTGGATGAAGTGAAACAGGTACTCATCAGCTTTCTATCCTCTTTTCACAATTTTTGGCTACATGGAACATGATCTCAACTCAGCATTGACAAGGAAGCAAGGCAGTTTGATTGCACTTCAGGAACTTAGGTTTAAACCACGAGGATGATGCATTCACAGACAATTGGGACCAATGTGAATTACGCATTTATAGTAAGAGCCTTTTAGAAGATATTCCAGCCTATCTGTATCACTGATGTGACACAGTCTTAAGAGAATTTATTTATTTGGATTGAGGTGGTGGCATTCTTTCTTTTTTTTCTTTTATAACCCCATTTTAAACTACAAATCTCACATGAATCCAGAAATATACTTTGGAAAGAAGTTAAGCTACTCTTGTAGAGCAAACAAGAACTTTTTATTATTTTATTTTATTTTTTTTGAGACAGAGTCTCGCTCTGTCACCCAGGCTGGAGTGCTTTGGCATGATCTCGGCTCACTGCAAGCTCCGCCTCCCGGGTTCACGCCATTCTCCTGCCTCAGCGTCCTAGTATCTGGGACTACAGGCGCCCGCCACGCACCCAGCTAATTTTTTTTGTATTTTTAGTAGAGATGGGGTTTCACCATGTTGGTCAGGATGGTCTCGATCTACTGACCTGGTGATCCGTCCACCTCAGCCTCCCGAAGTGCAGGGATCAGAGGCGTGAGCCACTGCGCCCCACTGAACATTTTATTTTTTGAGAACTCCTTTTCCAACCTCTTGCACTCCACGTGGATCCCAAAATTCTTGTATGGAAACATAAGCCTCTGCAAAAATAAATGTTTGAAAAAAATTAAGACATTGAATTATTAAATGTATAAGAATCATCTCTTCAGGTTCAATCATTCTTGTGGTATATTCCTATGTCACTAACACACTAGAGGTTACTCATTTTAATTAGTAAGAATATATATAAATGGGTGAGTGAGCAGATAGATGGGTGGATGACTGAAAGCAGGTATGTATTGACGAAGGAGAGAATGGGAATAGGTAAGTCTGGAGCAATGGGTAGAGGACATGGTAATGCCCCAGTTGAGGGGAACACTGACATGCCAGCAACATTTTAGTGCGTCCTTAAAGAAAAGAGGTTGGTTTAAGAGAAAATTAAGGATAACAGACATGGAGTCAGTATATTTCATCTACTTCCTAACTTTGATGAGGGTTGAGTCTGTCATAACCAATTTCTTCCTTGACTTAGTATTATATAGATTCAGTCATGGCTGATAATAAGGGTGGACCCAGGTGGGGCATTAAGACACTGCCACCCACACCCATATGTGTTAATTCGCTTCCTGCCAAAACATGTCTTTTGAATCATGTAGGCTTATGCTAAGGGAAAAAGGCAGCATATTCAATGGAATGTAGAAAAAATATTCATGAAATTGTGGGTCTGTGACTTCCCACAGGAAGTTTTGGTTTCTGCTTTCAAATTAACCTGTCCAAGCACTGCTCAGAGGCTTATAGATTATGGAGATCAATTCAGAAAACCTACAGCAATTGCTTGCGTAGTTAAGATTCTTACTTTGTATTAGAAAATTCCTAAGTTGTTAGTAGAACAATAGGCAATTAAAACAGTGTTCAAACCATTTACAGGACACAGGAGTCTAGATAGGTTGCTCCAGTGTCAGGGTGGGACAAACAAAACAAAAACCAAAGCTGTAGATCACATTTAAACCCTCAGGGTAAATATGAACAAAAGGTAGACTATATATTTTTAAGGCATCTGGGTGTAAACCTTTTTTTTCCCCTCTTTGCCAGAAACCATAGTGTTTATAGGCATGTTTTACTGGAAATCTGCTGCTTCTCACAATGTTTCCTGCACAACTGTCTTAGTAAAACTACATCTGGAAATGACAAGCACACAGTTGTAAATCTGGAAGTCAGTGTGTTGTTGTAATAGCTTGCAGCTACAGTACGGCTGTCTTGCTGAACACCAAAGAGTTATAAAGACAGAGGCCAGCTGTAGCTACTGAAATGAATGCTATTTTTCTGAGGGGATAGAATGAGGTTTAAGAGGGTTATAATGTCTCCTATTAAACTAAGAAATGGAGCATTGAACTGATTGTCTCTTGGACAAATCAATTATTTCAGAAACCTTGATGACCAGCCTGGATAGACCAAAGCCTGCTTTGTTGGATGAAGCAAAAACAGGGAGAGATCAATTGACTTGTAGACTTCTAGAGTTAGTTGGGTCATAGCAACCACCTAAATCAAATGTCTCCCTAAATAATGAACTTCCCTTCTCAAGAGCCACAAAATGTCATCCTCAAATAGTAGCTTGAACATTTCAACAGTTCTCAGTCCTAAATGACTGATGAGATCCATATATAGGTCCCAAACAAAACAACCTATATGCTTAGCCTGAAGTTCTCCCTATGCTTTGGTTTGAATGAGTCTTCTCCAAAGTTCATGTGCTGAAATTGAATGGCCAATGTGATAGAATTAAGGCATGGAGACTTTAAGAAGTAATTACATCATGAGAGCTCCTTTCTTATGAATGGTATTGAGTCCTTATTAAAGAGGCTCCACATAGCATTCAGTTCTTTCCCTTTTCTACTCCTTTGGCCTTGTAAAGACACAGCATTCCTGCCTTTCAGAGAATGCATCTAGGAAGGTGAGGCTGGGCCCCTCATCAGACACTAAAACTACCATTAACTTGATTCTGGACTTCCCAGCCTTCATAACTGTGAGAAATAAATTTCTGTTCTTCATAAATTACCCATTTGTAGGATTTTGTTATAGCAGCACAAACAGAATAAGACACCCTATGTGTGTATCTTCGGATCATTTTCAAATTAACCTGGGGAATCGAAGAATGATTCGTCACTATGGGAGGTTCGTCAAACCACATGTTGATATCAAAGCCACCAGTAAGAATTGTAGTGATGAGTTAAGCAATGATTAGTCAATAATAAACAGAAGTAAAATATCAACCAAATTTTAATTTATTATTCAAATAATAATTAAACATTGATATGTTTAGACACTATGGGCTTTGGATGTAACATATACATATGCGAGCACTGTTTATCTTTAAAAATGGCTTATACTTTCAGTAATGTCTCTAAGCCTGTGTATATCAACAGGTGGATATTTAAAATAACTACAGTGTCTTACCTCTTCTTTGCTCTGCTTCCAGCATGTTCTTTCTTCCTTCTTTTCTGTGTCAGAGGAAGAACAGCTCATCTTCCCCACAGGGCCAAACTACCTTTTTATATTTCTTTCATTTCATCTAATTCTCAATTTCAAAGAGATCACGGTATTTTATTATTTATTTTTTCTTTTGTGTCTTCAATGTTTGAATTCCCCTTCTAAGCCTCTTTTCCTTGCTCTCAATCATACACAAATCTCTCCTACATGAAAACAGTTTGAAATGAATTATATGGTCCACTGAATTTACCAGAATTGAAGAAGAAAAGTCTCATCTTGTCAAAGAATAGCTTTTATAAGATCCATGAGGGTAGGGCAGTGTCTGATTCATTGGTGTTCCCATTTTCTAAAAGATGCCCAGCCCCAGTAGATGCTCAACAAGTATGTGTCAAATAAATGAATGAAAACAGTAAATGAGTGAATAAATAGTAATGCATATAGACTAGCTTAACTTTTACCTTTACTCCTTCACAATTTACTGGCTGTTTTGTTTCCCCACATCAGATTATTCAAAAGCATCCTGATCTGCTAGACATCAAGTTATTATTTCAATAGCTTGTCCCAAGTCATCATTTTTCTGTCTTTGCTATATATTTAACACTGTGAGCTCCCCATTACCAGCATTGCCCCCAAAACACACACACACACACACACACACACACACACACACACACACACCCCAATAGAGTTTTGTAACTTTCATGAGAAACCAGCATATGTTTCATCCCATCTCTTGCTCTATGCATCTTGGTCTCCCTCACTGTTTTTGACTTTTCGAAGAGACACTTCTCCCTTGGTTCCAACTCCCGTAGGTGCTGAACTTGAAGTTGTCTCAGCTCACTTCTTGATGATCTAACGGCTTCTCTTTCCTTAGAGAGAGGAAAAGAGTGGGGAGAAAGGAGAAAGAGAAGAATGGAAAAGTTTAAGTAGGATTTGTAGTTGAAGAAAATCTTTCTAAACAAGACTAATACTTCTGCTTCTCCTGTTACCTCCTTCCTCTGGTTCTCAAATTGTGGCCTCAGTACAACCTATGTCAGAATTGATACAAATATTGATGTCAGGCTCTACCTTAGTCTATTAGTCCTTCTAAAGTAGAATTCCAAGGATGGGAACTCCAAAATCTACATTCAAAAATAAAACGAAAATCATTTTTTTCTAGTTTGCAGAGAGGTTTGGGGACCACTGAACCATATAACACTGCATAGAGGTAAATAAATAATGAAAAAATAGATATGAAAAATTATCCATTCAAAGGCTATGGCACCTGGATCATTCATCATAACCTACAAAATCCTCCTCCTCTCCCAGTTTTACAAGAGTCCTGTACTGAACTTAGCTGTCTCCAGGATGCTGAAGACTGTTTATTACCTCACCTTTACTATGCACAGGTAACTCATCCTATAGGAGATGACTCTAGCAAATAATTTGCTGTGAAGTTGGTAAATTGTTATGGCTTTTCAGAGGAGTTTTCTCAAATAAGCAGAGATCCAACCAAACTATATGATTTGCTGAGATTCTACTACTTCTATTTCATTACAAGTCCTACAAATTTCTACTTCTATTTTCATCTTCACCTTTTTAAATCTTTACTACCTGTACTAAATTTTTACATTTCAAACGAATCAATTTCAATAACTCTACTTTTTGAAATCAAAATATTCCATTTATGGTATTATGTATATTAGCAACAGATGTAAAATTACTCCTAAAATTTTAAGGGCAGGGATAACTACAAATACTTGGTGTAAAACATGTTTTACTTACATATAATAATGGGACTAGTTTGTAGTCACACCCAACATGAGTGACATTTCTTTGTAACTACATGTGTATAGTAGAAAGAGAGAGAAGGGAAAGAGAAAGACTGATTAAAAACCAATGGACTGACTGGGCACGGTGGCTCACACCTGCAATCCCAGCACTTTGGGAGGCCAAGGCCAGTGGATCACCTGAGGCTGGGAGTTCAAGACCCCTGGTCAATGTGGTGAAACCCCATCTCTACTAATAAAACTACACAAATTAGCAGAGCCTGGTGGCTCATGTCTGTTATCCTAGCTAGTCAGGAGGCTGAGGCAGGAGAACCGCTTGAACCCTAGAGGAGAGACAGAGGTTGCAGTGAGCCAAGATTGCACCACTGCACTGCGGCCTGGGTGACAGAGTGAGACTTTGTCTCAAAAAAAAAAAAAAATTAATTTTAAAAAATGGGCTCTTTAATATTTGTTTTATTGACACACACATATTAATTTCACTCTGTCTACATTACTATATCTTCCCAATTTTTTTTTTTTTACTCTGTGACACCCCTAAAGAACAATTGGTTCCTGTCCTGTCCCACTTCCTGGCTATGTTCCTCTTCAGTATTTAGCAGTGACTGTTCTCCTAGGAGCCATACTGTGGCATATCCCCTATGCAGGAGCAGAGAAAATCCTCCCACCAAATGTGTGTAAAGAAATGCCTTCAGAACTACAACTTGGTCAAGACCCTACAGCTCTTTTATCAGGCCCTGAAATTAGATTGAGAAACATACAGAGTTTTACAAATAATGGTACCAATAACTCCTGGTACTTTTAGTTCCTCAATTTGCTTTCTTTGTTTTTTCTCATTTCAAGCCACTGTTATTCAAGAAGGACCTCACTGATACCTGACATGACACATCAGAAAATAAGTGTGAAGTCTGGCTGTGCTATAACCCTGAGAGTTCACATTTGTGGTTCAATCGTGGCTACATGTGAGCTGTTTACACTCTAGTTACCTCTTGAAATTTGGCAGTCGTTACTTATCTAGGAACAATTTGGCTTCTTTCTTCCCACTGGGGAAAAACTATTCCTCGTTACCATCTTTACATCTTTTCTCCATCTTCTGTTTAAAATTTGTTTGTTGATGTTTCTCTTTCTAATTATAACATTTGGGAAATACAGAAAATTCTACTGGACATAAAAACTCATAATGACACTCACAATATCATCATCCAAAGGTATCCGCTGTTAACATTTTTAGTACTTGCAGTCAACCCTTTTTCTTTCCTGCCTTTTGACAGGTAAAAAATCACACCATGCATTTTTAAATTTTTTTTCTTTACTTTTCTCAGTATTTTATTATAAGCATTTCCCATTTAATACAAAACTTCATAAATATTATTGATTTCATGATTCCCTGCTAAAGGACAATAATATAATTTATTTGAACAGTTTCCTAACTGGGGATATTCAGACTATTTCCAAGGGTGTGAAGAGCATACATTTGAGAAATGATCATGAAAGAGCATTTTATTTATGCACCTAACCAATTTGTTTTCCTAGAAGTACAGAGACAGACTCAATGAATCAGAGTGAGTATTTTTGTGGCTCTCATTACATATAATTTCTGCTTGTTTTCAAACCTGATTTTAAGTTTTACCTAGTTCCAGACAGCTGTGACTACATGTAGTTAATGTTCATTTATGAGAATTGTTGACTAAATATAACAGAGGGTAATTGAAGGGAAATGTAATGAAAAGGGGATAATTTTCTTGGAATTTCTATTTTGAAGAGTTATTTTGTCCTTGATCAAGTTATATGTCAACTTTAGTGTGACTTTTCTGACTAGAGAGAACATGCCAGACTTTTCAGCTTTCCTTTAGAAGTGGTCTTCAGGTTTTTCTTGTTTGCTTTTTAATTCTAATTCTTAAGTGAATTTAGGCTCTCTCTTCATTTTTCTGATGCAAACATCTATGTGGTCTGGACAAAGGAGATGCATTCTTCTTTTTTCCTTCCCTGCTATTGAGTTCACTTTAATCTGTAACACAAAACAAGTTATCCCTCTATTTTCTAAACATTTTTGTGCTCTGTTTTATTCTACCCAGTTTCTTGTTTAGCTGCCTAAATTCTCCCAGCTCATTCACTCACAGCCACTTCTGGATGATACTTGTTGCTTCAGGTTAATAGCTGCGGTATTAGACCATTTTCATGCTGCTGATAAAGACATACTCGAGACTGGGCAATTTACAAAAGAAAGAGGTTTAATGGACTCACAGCTCCACATGGCTGGGGAGGCCTCACAATCATGGTGGAAGGTGAAAGGTATATCTCACATGATGGCAGACAAGAGAAGAGAGTTTGTGCAGGACAAGAGAAGAGAGTTTGTGTAGGGAAACTCCCCTTTATAAAACCATCAGATCTTGTGAGAATTATTCACTATCAACAGAACAGCATGGGAAAGACCTGTCCCCATGATTCAATTACTTCCCACCAGATCCCTCCCACAACACTTGGGAATTATGGGAACTATAATTCAACATGAGATTTGGGTGGGGACACAGCCAAACTATATCAGCCTTATCCAACTGTGGCCTGAGAGCTACATACTCAGAAGGGTTTCCAATGCCACAATTCCACAATCTTACAGTAAAATTTCATCAAAAATTCCTGTTAAAATGTTGTTCACTTTGTTCTCACTCTGACATAATTCTCTGTCTTTCTTTTCTCTCTTCGTGAAAGAGAGCTGAACCCTTCCACTGAGTCCTATCTTGTAAGCAGATCATTCCTTCTCTACGCAGAGCTGTCAAAGTCACAGAAAGCCCTAACATTCCAATGGTGATTTTCTTTAAGAAACAGCATTTTAAACAGTGAATGGGGAGATGAGTAGCTATGGCTTCTCTAACTTTCATTTTGTGTGTATTTGTGTATGAGCAGCAGAAGGCAGTGAAATGGGCAGAGGAGTAGAAATAACCAGTCCTTTTATTTTTGGATTGAAAAAAAATATTTTGCTAATGCATTTCTGCATTTAACAATTTTTCTTAGGTAAGTTAGACATTTAATAGTACAAGTCACTGGTGTTGTACGGAAGGACTTCACCAGTCTTCTCTATAAATGACAAACTGCTGGAATGTAAAACATTTGGTTTTTTACAAATGCCTTTACTCGAGTTGGAAGTCGTGATCTATGTTTCAGGTCAAAGGCAAGAACATGCTTTCCCCTATCTGTTTCCTGTCTCCAAGCGATCAATCATTTATTTCCCCAGGGAATTGTAGTTCTTGGGCATGTGGCCTGTTTTCCATTGGCTTCTATTATCTTTTGCTAATTAGATTACAACCTAGTATTTACCTTACTATGTGGCTTTGAGACTTTCCCCTGCAGTGCTTTTCTGTTCACTTTATGAAGGCTGCACATCATGAGTTCTCTTGGCCTGCTTTGTTAAACCAGGCAAAGTGAGGAGCTCTACATTCACATTTGAGGAGAAGGGAGTAAAAAAATAAATGAAAATTAATTAATCTTACTTTATGTTCAGATCTAATTCACCTTTGAGAATATGCCCTCAGGAAATTTTAGAGCTGTTGCTATCTCTAGACTACTTTACATTTTATAATATAACTCTCACCTTGAATTTATGTTTTGCTTATACTTGATAAAAATTTATTATCTGACACCAGATAGTATTGCATCCCAATGTGATGATTAATTTTGTGTGTCAATTTGGTTAGGTTATGATGACCAGTTGTTTGGTCAAACACAGGTCTAGATATTACTGTGAAGGTATTTTTTAGATGTGATTAACATTTAAATTAGTAGAATTTGAGTAAAGCAGGTTACCCTATATAATATAGGTGGGCTTTAGTAAATCAGACAGAGGCCTTAAAAGACAAGGACCCATAAAGAGAAAGGAAGTTTTGCCTCCAGACTGCACGGTAGAAATTATTGAGTTTCTAGCCTTTTTATTCAAGACTGTGACATCAATTCTTACCAGAATTTCTAGCCTGCCCTGCAGATTTTCAACTTGTGAGTCCCCACAAGCGCATAAGCCAATTACTTGAAACTTTTCTCTCTCTCTCTCACTGTATGTGTGGTAGGGTGTGTGTGTGTATGTGTTTGCATATATATGTATCCTCTGGGTT